AAATCTTATTTCTGCAAAATTCAGTAAATGCAAGTGCTATCCATCCATCACTTTAAATTCGTTTTGATAAAATCACTAGATAACATGACAGATACTAACGAACACAGATATACTACAGTACCAGTTATATACATCACCATAGCTTCATATGCATTGCAAGTGACTAACAAGTAAAACATTTACAAAAATACTCAATTAACAAGTAAAAATAAAGCCTGTTAAAATTGCTGCCGAGTAGTTTTCATTAATGTATTTAGTCATTAACTTACCATAGGATACATACTTATTATACAACTGTTGATGTTTCATGCAATTTTAACATTGTTCCTTTTAAACCACATTCGCTTGGTCTGATTTATCATGCTTTTTCATGCTTACACAAACAGGATATCTTTGATATTTTATTCCCTACAAGGAATTTAATGGATATTGCACATATGATATTTTGCGTCTAATGACCGTGACAGGCCCCTATTATCTTTTATACATTTATTGAATAAGTCTTTTAAAGTAGAGTAAATGTGAGGGGTCTTTTTTAATATGAGGCCCGTTTTACGCATTCGCCAAAGCTCATTTCCACTTTACATTGCCCAAAATATATATGAATAGCCAGCACATTTTCACAAAATTAGTTGCCAGATATAAATAACTCCTTTGATGTCTGAAGGGCAGCATGTTCATGAATAGACACTATAGAATACTGCAAAATACTTTATTTTCACCTGGAATTAATTTTCACTATTTTCGCTGTGAAGGAATGATTCAGTGAAAATAAAATCCAGCGAATATAGGTTTTTCCTATATTTTACATTCAACTCAAAAATCAGTGAAAATAAATTCCATACAAAACACAAAAGTGAACCAGTCAGTGAAGTAGACCAGGACAAATTCACAAGATGATCCGTGGTACATCGTGGCCATTTCACAATGTAATCTCATCCTTACATTAATTTAATAACAAATTAGTATATTAGTCTTATTTTTAATTCGCTGTTAACATAACTCTGTACTATGGTATTGGTGATATATAAATTGGATGCCATAGGATGGTACTTGATGGCCAACCAACCTAATCAAATATGTATTTTGCATTGTACGAGTGCAAAATAAGTTATTAGGAAATTAGGATATTAGTACCAGCTGTTTTATACGCATGCGCATTGGCCGATCCTGTCAAATGTTGTCATCTGTTTTGGGCGTGTCTGGTCGATGTGAAATTGCTTCAGCCATTGGGTAACGGAATGAAAATGAATTTGCGCAGTTTTACCAACATAGTAAACCAAACTTAGAACTCGCGATACTGGTGCAGACGACTATGGTCGAACAACTATGAGAAATAAAAGGCGGGACTTTGGTGTTGCACATTTAGCACAGAAATAAAAAAGACACGCCCACATTTGGACAACCAATCATTTTATTATTGGTCACGATCTGCACGTCCTTTGTAAACACCACGTGCACGATGTGCCGCCATCCAATGGTGGAATGAGCGGCTTCCTTTGTGCACAATCAGCGTCAACTTCATGAGAGAAACACAACGCACTTGTTAAGCCAGACCGTCTGGTGGCACCCAACTATTTCATCAATAACCAAATATACTATTATCCTGTTCCCGAATTGAACATTTGTTTATTTGGAGTAATTTCTAATTCTACGCCAGGTACTTAGTAATTAATGATTCCATGTATTTATTTGGCCGTTATTTGACAGACGTAAAATGCCATAATGTTAATTCGCGAAAATTTAAACACACTGATACTGATAATGAATTACAAATTTGCCAAAAAATACTGAATTTGCTATCCCATGGAAATAATTGAAATCAAAATATTTGGCAATATATTAAGTTTTGCGTTGCATGCATACGATTGAAATATCATATAAAATGGACCTAATATACTAATGTTTTATTTATTTAATTGTAAGATCGAGATTACATCATGGAATGGCCACGATGTACCGATGTAAATATTACTAATGAATGTTGTGTTGTGGTCTAATTTAATAACACAAAAATGTTCTCAGTATTTTTTTTCTAAGGTTATACAATTGTTTTTCTTTTTTTGTTTTGTGACGTATGTATGACCATTTTTATATTCTTCGGGAAATATTATGAGTTAATAAATATTATTCCAATGTCAATAAATAAATAAATAAATGAATGAATGAATGAATGAATGAATGAATGAATGAATGAATGAATAAATACTTCAGTTGAAATAAACAGATTCAGATTACATTTTGTTCAATACGACTATGCCAGAACGGTTGTTAGCCTAGAAATTATCTGTGGTGAACATGACATCTGGGATTAAACGATTGGTTCACCTCACCGTTCGAGAAGAAAGTATGCAGGGCTCTTAACTTGTGCAATAAATATGAGCTTTAAATTTGCTGCATTTTTTCACGAACTCTAAAACTCTTCGTTGTGCATTTCATGTAAATAAAATACTAGATATTAACACTTCGAATATCACCGCCCGTATGCACAGCCCCGTTGTTGAGGAACTGTGTCATTTTCCACAACCGAAACGTCTAGAAATCTAAAAGGTTAAAGGTTAAATATATCCACAGCGCCGTTCTATACAGTAAAACAAACTCCCGCTTTCATGAAACCCGATGTGAACACGTCAGATGCCGTTTCACATGTCCACTTTCCGTCTAGCCCACTTCACCCATTTGTTCACTTCAAAACTGGTCCTACCTTGTGAACGGTTACTGCTCAGACCACAGGCTGGCTCAGACTACTATAGAACAGATCGGCAACGCAGCTGTTCCTTTGGTCAAATACGGGGAGGGGGAGTCGTCACCTGCGCATGCGTCAGATGGCCATAGCGTGTCAGTGTTTACAAACAAGTGTCTACCCACGAGCCTTTGCGTTTTAGCGTGTGTTGTTCATTCTCCTTCCCAGAGTTCCTTGCGGTTAGATCACCGAAAGTATCTCTGCAATCTCCCAGGTTCGCTGATTTCCGGCGTCCTTTGCGAATGGCAGGTACGCCATGACACTTGAGGCGGGAACCAGCCAATCTCCCAGGCAGAGCAAGGGCGTTTATGCAAAAGTGTTGGTTCAGCGATACATTCTGCTTCAAAAGATTTAAAAAATAATTGGAATCAAATACTAAAAAAAGTAAAACTCAGACTATCTGAGTTTTATATTCAAAGATGGAGAGAAGAACTAAATTTCAGTGAAACCAATGAAAATAGGGGAACAAAACTGAGAACATACAAACTATTCAAAGTAAGCTATAATATGGAAAATTATTTGCAAAACATTTCAAATTTCAGCCTCAGCAAAATGCTTTCAAAATTCCGTCTGAGTGACCACAACTTAGAAATAGAATTAGGTAGAAGAACAAAGCCCAAAATAGAATTAGAAAATAGACACTGTAATAAATGTAACACTAAAGCATTAGGAGATGAAAAACATTTCCTGCTATTTTGTACTGGCTATATAGAACAAAGAAAAAAACTGTTTGATGAGTGTTCAATAAATATTTACACAATGGATGTGAATTCCATATTTAAAAAGATTATGGAGAATAATATAGCTTTAGCAAAATACTTAAAGAGCACAATTTTTAAAACCACAGAAAGTAATTAATTTATTTTTTTCTTTTATTTTACTAACATTTTATTTTTATCTCTTATGTATTGTATGTATTTATGTTCCTTACCATACAAAAACCCTCTGAAGGTTTTTTAGTAGTGTAATAAAGTTATTATTAATAAAGTTATTATTATTAAATATACACACAAATTAGATACTATGCCATTATATCTATATTTAATTTCCTGGCCGATTTGACACGTACATGTATTAGATAAATTGAGAACGTCGTAAGTTATCAATCCTCGGGGGCGGAGCTACGTCACGGACGTTCTACGTTGCTAAGACGCGCACCACTGTACCACGTATTTCTATGGGCTTTGTGCGCGCTGCTGAGGAACGCCGGTGGAGCCGGTGAAAACTCGAGAAAACAACACAAACTCAACTTTGAAGTAATCCTGAACAACCAAATTTATATATGTTACACGCGTAGGGCTAATCTTGTTACACTGTTCAGGGGACTCTCAACAACCATCGCAAAGTACCGTTTTCTGCGAGTTTTGGTCTTTGTTTTCACCGCGAGGGATGCCAGGCGGTAGAAAATGCCCGGATGTCCGCCCCCCCCCAGGATAGCGCTGTACGTGAGGATGAGGGTTGTAAAAAAGCGCCGCCACCGATGAATTGCGCGCGCTTCCACTTCACGGTTGCGTGCGCGTCTGTGTTCCGCTATAAATGCAAAATTAAAATAGACGGGGTCAATCCCCTTCCCATAGGTCTTTGAGCTGTACGCAATAGTACCTCTGACACAGGCAGTCTTCAATTTTGTGGTCAATCACTTCACTACGCACGGCCATTTTCCCGCGGTTGTTTCATTTGAAGCCGAACTACAAAAAGTGGGAAAAAAAAAAAAAACGTATGTGACATCCGAACTATTTATTAATGTTAGAATTTAGTAAAAACGTAAATACAAACCATTTTATCGCAGACTATGTTTTGCAAGGTAATGTTATTGTATTGAAATGATTTCATGAATTAGTAACCATTATTCCATGATGAAAATATTTTCTTCTGTAAATTATAACTATTTCACCCTTGACAATGCATTTACGGAAAAAATCTTTATCAGCTATTGATAAAATATTTTAAAACTTGTTTTCCAGTAGGAATAAATCTAATAACAAAAATACGCAAACGATACGCGTAGTAAAAGTCTTGTGGTGTCCAGTCCCTAATCTCATATAATAGATGATCGAATAATTCTGAGTGGACCGAGCTGTCAAAAAATCATGTTTTTGATTTCGTAATCTACTATTTTGTTCCTCTCAACCTGTAGATGGTGATACATTTTTTGTAATACTAGTACGTCAATTTCTTGTTTGTGCCACAAGGTAAAGGGCGCCACCACAGCATTTTTTATAAAACAGATCTCGTACACTGCGAGACAACGAGAATGGTTGCTATAAACATGGCGGCGTTCAGCTCCGATCCAAAACATTAGGATTTGACATGATTATTTTGATAGTTGCGCGAATATTCTAGAAACTTAGCATTTCCATCGACCTAAAGCATTGACACCTTCATTATTAGGTAAGTTGTAGTTATTTCCCGTGCCGTAAAGTGAACGTGGTGGCATCTTGTTCTGTGTGCTACCATCTCTTCAAGTCGAGAACCACCGATGGAATGGAAATGTAGGTAGGAAATGTAGAGCATGTCCGTTAATACCTTCCATGGTTAGAGTAAAAATTAAGGGTGGAGGTACAATGAAAAGTCTCTCCCACAATTACAATCACAATGATAAATTGTACATGTGTGGATCGTCCACCACTGTTATACACAAACAGCGGGTCACCTGATATAGTCTTTTTTAGCTCCGCTGTCGAGCCGAGCTTATCATATTAGTATTCGTCCGGTGTCCGTCGTCCGCGTAAACTTTTTATTTTTTCGACTTATTCTTGAAAGCTACAAGCCTGAATGCTTTGGTACTTGGTGTACATGTACCTCGGGTAGACCTCGCTCAGATTTGTCCATTTTGTGATGATATCTTTAATTCTCTAATTTTAATGAATATTTTTGTGTTTTTTGTTTGTAAAAAGTGATATTTTTGACTTGTTGAAAACCACAAGTCCGATTGCTTTGATATTATATATATAGGCACTACAGGTAGACCTCAGATTTGTTCATTTCGTGATGATATCTTCAATTCTCTAGTTTAGATGAATATTCTCACAGATTGGTTCTTGCAACATTTGGGGGAACGTGACGTAGCCCGTCTGTGAGAATTGTTGTCATTTTGGATAAAAAGTAATATTTTTGACTATTTGTTGAAAACCACATGGTCAATTACTTTGATATTATACATATATGTACTACAACTGGAACTCTCTCAGATTTGTTCATGTTAATGAATATTTTTAAACAAATCTGAGAGAGATTCACTCTCTCAGATTTGTTCATTTTGTGGTGATATCTTCAATTCTCTAATTTAAAATGTGCATTGCTAACAGCGGAACCATCTCAGACCAGAGGCTGCTTGTTTAGATCTCCAGTGGAATGTTCACTACCATAAAATTTCACAAAACAGTGTGTAATTTAACATTTATATATCTATGTGGTTGAATGCAAACTTGGCTTGCTTTCAACCCACCATGCATGTACATCTAAATTAAGCAAAGAATATCAGCTGTCGTCTGAACCGCTCAGGTATTTAGATTACTGGATGTTTTGACCCAGCTCCAGGATGTAAATATGTTTCTCGCATATTCACCTAACTATTTTGATGGGGGTAAGGTTATTTAGTCAGAGCTTGATATTAAAAAGAACATTTGGTTTTCCTACTGACGAGCAGTCAAAACACCAAGAGTCCAAACGACTTGTAGTCTTTATACAGGAGTTGTTCCAATAAAGAATTGTTAAAATTTTTCGATTGCTATTTCAAAATTCTTTATTGGAACAAAACATATATATATTTTTTTTATATTCCATATTCACAAAAAACGATGCTGCTATGTTTCTAGACACAGCCAACTTAAAACGAAAAGAAACCATCCGATCCAAACGACCTGGATCCTTGAAAATAAAGTCTTATCGTTTTTTTAAGTGAAATGTTTTGGTAGTCCAGGGTTTAGGTAGGTTTTTTTATTAGAGATGCCAGAAAAATCAAAATTTGAGAATCACTTTGGCAATGACAAATCAGCAACAATAGAGGTTGAGGGACTGCGTTTCAAACTGATATTTTATATACAGTGTATATAAATACAGTATTACAGTGTATTGCTTTAATTGCATTTTTCTATTATTTTTCTGTAAAAGGTTACAAGTTATAATCTGATAACATGGAGGACAGTTCAGATCTACAGTCTCCAGAACAGTATTTCATGGAATCTGAAGAGACCCCCTTAGAATATGAGAGTGATCCTGAGTTATGGTCATACAGTGATGAAACATCCCATACTGGGTGAGTCAACAATACACACTGTCAAGGTCAAATGCAGGGTTATTCTCATAAATATACTTACAAAAAAAATTATAAAATCCAACAGGATTCATGTAAAATCAGTCTCATTCAATTTCTTATGAGACAATTGGATTTACTAGGCAGATAGATTTCTTTATTCCACACAATGCAATGCAATTATCTCAAGCAATGATGCTTCATTTGATCCTGTCAAGAAGGGCTTAATTTGCTTGACCAGATTATTAAATAGTCTTAGTTTCCAATCCAGGAAAGTGGTAGAGATTGGGGCTTCCACAGGATGAATACCAATCATCAAATATACAACTGTATCAGCTCTCTACATAAATTATGAACAAAACTCTTTTATTAGTCCCCGTTCAAACGCAGTCCGATAAACAGGGACTTATGTTTTGACCTTCGTGTGTCCGTGTGTGCGTCTGCGCGTGCGTCCGGACCTGTATCTTAGAAATGCCTGGACCAATCACAATCAAACTTCACACATACATTATACATGATAGTATACATATGCACGTCAATTTGTTTCACGATCTGATTCAAGATTGCCGAATGGCGGCCATTTTTGTGCTAAAAATCATCAAAAACAAGCATTTCTCAGCTGTTAACAGATGGATTTTGTTCAAACTTAGTATATACATTAGACATTATAGGACCTTGCACATTATTTTGTTTTACGATCTGATTCAAGATGGTCGAATGGCGACCATTTTTGTGCTAAAAAATCATCAAAATCAAGCATTTCTCGGCTGTTTACAGATGGATTTTGTTCAAACTTGGTATATACATTAGACATTATGGGACCTTGATGCAAATAATTTTGTTTTTTAGATAGATTCAAAAT